TTTTTTTGGGCGATACTAGGGAGAGAGGACGTGGAGGCTTGGGGGTTGAGGGTTTTTGTTTTAGAGTTGGGATGGAGGCGAGTTTGGGGGGAATGTGGAGGGATAAGGGGCGTTTGGGAGGCGGAGGGGTGGCGAAGGGACTTTCGAGTTTCCAGGGGGAGGTGGAGGGAAGGCGGGTGGTGGGTTGCTTGGTTGAGGTGCGGGTGAGGCGGGGGAGGGTTGAGGCGGTTTTGATAGGTGTGGTGATGGATTTTGTGGGTTTGTGGGATATTGTGCTTGCTGGGCCTTTTGTCTTGCTTGGACTTGCGCTTTTGAGATTTGGTGACTCGGTTGCGGCGGGACGATTATCCTTTGTCTGGGCTGATAGGTATCCGATAGACTGACACCGCGGTATTGTGGACTTGCTAGGGAGCTTTGTCAAGGCCACCTTGTTTGGAGAGTTTGTCTTGATTCTTGGCAGGGACGACATGTTGTAGTTGAACTTTTTGAGTGTTGTAGACCTTCCAACTGTACCTGAGCTACTCGCATCTTGTTGGTCTGTGGATTCGCTGTTCGGTATCGGGAGCAACTCGCTCAAGTTGACAGGTTTGCAGAGTGCCGGGATTGGGATGCTCGAAGTCGTCCTTGCGTTGTCCGTGTCTTTCTCCAGCTCCAATGATATGCTGAGATTCGTCTCTACGTGTTCGTCCTGGCTAGCAGTTTGTGTCTCTGAATTCTCCAGGGTATCCTCGTTCGCATCACTCCACTCAATTTGCTTCCCAGAATCCGCCCTCGTGTCGCGTTGTCGTTTCGTATTCGGACAATAAGAAGACGAATATTGAGATGCCTGTGATTCTTGTGTCTTGTCGGTAAAACAATCCATGCCAGACTCCGATAGGAGTTGAGTGGGCTGCGCCTCAGGTGACGTATTGACAATCTGTTCCAGCCCCTGCAAAGGCAGAATTGAGGACAACTCCTTCTCAAAGTTGAGTCTGGCAGCCACATCCGGTACACATGGAGCATCATCTTCCGAAATTCTCTCATAAGAACCTGACCCCACCAGCTGAAGCTTTTCCGAAGCCTTGCGTAACGGGGTAGGCGTAGGCGAAGCAAGGTTCCTTTCCACACCTGGGGAAAATGGCCAGTCGAAAGCCGGACTAGTGTTGTTGCTTCCGACGTTCGCCGTGAGATCACCAATGTTCTTCGGCTGCAAGTTCACCGGCTTTCGTGTCTTCTTGATTGGCGTAAAGTATTCGCTCGGGTTGGGGATAGCTCGTCTGACGGGTATCGCTGCTGAGTCGTCGTCCATGGTAGCGTCTGCTAGACACCCTGAGAGCATCCGGAGCAAGTGATTGGGATGTGATACTAGATTTCTGGCCAGATCCGGGCTCATATCGACAGATGAGGTGGGCGAGTCTAGCTCAATCGTGCGCTTCACTGGACTGCAAGGCCGTTCGTGGTTGGGTGTTTCCGGTCTGCCCTTTTTCAAAGGAGTCCCGAACGTGGACTTATCAGAACCCTGCTCTCTGGTGCTCCTGTTTCTCGAAAGATCCGACGGCTTTTTTGTTGGAGATCCGGTTCGAAAGTCGTGTTTTGGGGCGGTGGCTTTTGGTGGCGTACTGACAGCGGCTTTCGCAGGGCTCGGCTTCATGGTGATCATCATTTTCAGGGGACTGGTTGACCGCATTTTCGTGGGCGTCGTCAATTCTTTTGCGTTCTCCGCCGTACTGTCCCTGACCCCAGTTGCATCCTTCTTCGGCGAGACCCTACTAGATGAACAATTCATTGGAGGGCGAAAGATGTTCTTCCCTACTTCCAAATCGGCTGGCAATGGGTTATTTCGAACTCTAACAACTATCCTGTGCCCTCCAGTAGGCGTCCGAGGCTGTGGTGTTGCAGACATTGTCGTTTCACGTAGGAATCGTTCGCGAACCAGAGGTGACCTCAGGCTCGACGCCGCGGGACGGGCGCGCTTTTGAGGTGAGAAATACGCACTGTTCTCCGCGGCCAACGGGTCTGTGTTCTCATCTGGTGCGGGGTCTGCTATCGATGTTTGTGCTGTAATCAAGGCCATAGCTGCTCTTGTTGGGACAACCCCCAGAGCAGAGGTTCATATGAATGGGAGCGGTCATCAAGCGGTCTGTTTTTCAACTAGATTGAGCATAGACCGCCGGCGAGGCCAAAGGATGCCTTTGACAGAGTGATCGGAGGGGTTCGAGGGTTCAGTAAACGGCTGTGGCGCTTGTTTGGCCTCAACATGTGTAACAAGCAAACATAGACCCACTTGCGTCACCGTGGAACAAGGGAACCTATGCACGAACTATTGTTTCGGCATTCAAAAATAAACAAACATGTCCTGAGAATTGGTAGATTTGATTTCTACATGGGAATAAGCACTCATCCGTCTATATGCACTCAACATTGGATACGTAGGGTGATCACTCAACCAGGATATCTTGTCCTTGGCCTGCTCCTTGCGTCTATAGCTTTCCCTTCAAACTCGACTTGAGCCTTCGTTCCACTGCGTCCAGGTACTCGTTGGTTGTGACCCAGCTAGCCCTGTCCTTCTTTCCGCACGCTAGCGCCAGATCCTTGGTCATGATCTTGTCAACATCGACCGTGTCGATGCAAGCCTTCTCGAGCGTCTCGGCAAAGACGACAAGTTCAGGGGTGTTGTCGAGCTCGCCACGCTTGGCCAGACCTTGTGTCCAGGCAAAGATGGAGGCAATGGGGTTAGTAGATGTCTCCTTGCCCTTTTGGTGCTCGCGGTAGTGGCGGGTAACGGTACCGTGCGCGGCCTCAGCCTCGAACGTCTTGCCGTCGGGGGTGATGAGTGTGGAAGTCATGAGACCAAGAGAGCCGAAACCCTGAGCGACAATGTCAGATTGGACGTCTCCGTCGTAGTCTGGTGGGGGTTGTTAGCAGATATCCCAGGGTCATGCAGGGCAAATACGTACTCTTCATGGCAATAACGTAGCCACCCTCGCTCTTGATCATCTGAGCGACCATGTCGTCAATCAGACGGTGCTCGTACCAGATCTTGGCGGCCTCAAAGTCCTTCTTATACTGGGTGTCGTAGATTTCTTGGAAAACATCCTTGAACTTTCCGTCGTAGGCCTTAAGAATGGTGTTCTTAGTGCTCATGTACAGAGGCAGCTTCTTGTCGAGCGCCATCTTGAACGAGGCATGTGCGAAGCCCGAGATGGACTCGGTTGTGTTGTACTGGGTCTGAGCGACACCACCCTCTGCAGGGAAGTCGTAGACCTTGATCACCTCGGGCTTGCCGCCCTTTGGTGTGAAGACCATTTCCAAGGTACCCTCACCGGGGATGACACGGTCCTTGGCGCGGTACTGGTCGCCGAAAGCGTGACGGCCAATGATGATGGGCTGCTTCCATCCAGGGACGAGACGAGGGATGGTGGGGATAACAATGGGTGCGCGGAAGACGGTTCCTCCTCTAATGTGCTGTTAGCGAGTTTTGGGGCAATTCGTTGCAAACATGTGACCTACAGATGGTTTCGAATGGTGCCATTGGGCGACAACCACATCTTCTTGAGCTTGAATTCTTCTACACGCTGCTCGTCTGGAGTAATGGTTGCGCACTTGACACCAACTGAGTACTTTTTGATGGCCTCGGCGGCATCGAGCGTGACTTGGTCGTCAGTCTCATCACGGTATGGCAGGCCCAGGTCGTAGTACTTGAGGTCAATGTCGAGGTAAGGGTGGATAAACTGCAGTGGTAAGTATGGTGGGCGCGCATTTTGATTTTCCGTGGTGTTGGTGGTACCTTGTCCTTGATGACCTGCCAGATGATCCTGGTCATCTCATCACCGTCGAGCTCCACGACGGGGTTTTTGACCTTGATCTTCTGGACTGAGGAGGAGGACGCCATTCTGTGCTGTGCGACGAGAGTGTATAGGCTGGCGGGAGTTGTCCTGGCAGTGATTGTTGCTGGTCGTCGCGGGCTCAAAAGTTGGGCCGATGTCGCAGGCGAGCGAGAAGCTAAACAGCGAGTTGCAAAAGCACAAGTCTGGCGACGGGAGAGATGGGCAATTGAAGATGCATGGCGGATAGCCGCGGGGGCAGCAACTGCCGGCCTCATTGCGAATGATGTGTAGGACAAGAAGATAGCCTCGGAATTGCAGCTGCCAGCGCGTTTCAGAAGGTGGTGGTTTCCGGCCGCGGTCTCGAATGGGCAGTCAGAAGGGCGACGATGTTCGGCTGATGGGACGAGCAGCTCTTGCTTAGTCGAAGAGTCGCCTAGCGGGATAACCAGAGCCGAGGGCCACAGCAAGCCGTCGTGCGCTCGTCGCAGAGGCCCAGAGCCCGCTTACATAGTGTCTGGAAACAAGAGGCCCCACGGCTAATACCCCTCTGTCGCATTGCCATTGATTGCGCGGTTTTGATTGCCGTTGCGCGCGGCATGTCATTCAGCGTCGCATGTCACGCGGGGTAGTCGTACATGAAGCTTGGTATGACGCGGGCGGGTGTACGCGGGACCGGGCCCGACATGTGATGGTAAGTAGCACGAGTATGGTAGTAGCAGTGGCAATGGAGTAGTGGTAGATGAACTAGATAATCGCTCCGAGCACCTGTCTGTAACGTGCATACCAAACAAGACCCTTCTCCGCACAATGCGGGGCGTCGCCGTGGTATATGTACGTTCGCATGTATGCACATACACTGCTTGCCTTGTGCCCTGCATCCGGAACCCCTCATCCCGTTTGCGGGCGGGGAAAGTCGAGTAACCCTATCGGACTACTCCTTGTAGGCTTCGGGGCTGCAGTGAAGGACCATGGCAGCCAGATGAACACGTCTTTTTCCTGTCGGCATGTTATACATACTGAACATGTAGAGTGGAAGACACTAACTATACTGGTACTGGAACAAGATTGTATTACATTACGGTCCCATCTCTGCCATTACTACGACTACCTCAAAAAAGAATATCCACAAAAGAAAAGGGGTATCTTTATCATTAGCATCACAGTCGTCACGCCCGGGAGGCATTCCCCCCGCATTCATCCCATCACCCGCCATCTTGCCCTTGCATCCGTCGCATCCCTCCCTTTGTCCGCCGTCACTTCCCCGCCGCCATTTCCCGGCCTATCCTTGCGCCCACCCTCGTCATCCGTCTTCGTGGTCGAGTAACTCGGCACCGGACTGCTTGGCCTCCGAAACAAGCTCGTCACACTATTCGCGCTTGTCCGCTTCGACGAAACAGTCATGTGCGCCATAGACGGCGAGGAAATCGGACGGCCATCAATGTAGAAGCCGCCGTTTCCACCTTGTATAATGGTCTGCGGAACAGCCATGAAGTTGTTGCTTTGTTGAATGTGATTATACGAAACTGGTCGTGCGTCCAGTTTGTCAACTAGACCCGATTCCAAGTCAAAAATCCCGACGCCGTCATTAGTGCTGCGCAAAACTACTGGCGCAAAGTCCTGAAGCCCAATTGCTTCTTCCATCAAATCTGTTCTGGCGTCTTCGGATTGGTGGCTCTTCTTGGGTGGAATCGCCTCGGTCGACATCACCAGACTCATACTTCGTCGCGTTCGGCTTGGGTTGGTGCTGGTGGCATAAGTGCGATTGGTCGTGCCCATCTGCTGGTTCAGTAGCTGTGTTGTTGTGCGGCCTCTTGCTGTGCGAGACGAATGATAAGTCCACGCCGGAGGAGGAGACGCGTCAAACTGCCCAACCTCAAAGAATTCCCTCACGACATTCCATGTAAAGGGCAAATTGGCCACCAGGATCGCTGTCGACGACTCCCGAACATACCACGAGATCCACGTCGCCTTGTATGGATGGGTAAAGGACGAGTAGGCGTTTGCGATACTGGCAATCACGACAAAGAGTCCCAGAGAAAAGATGCCGCATAGGATAATCTTCCTCTTCATCGGTAGTAGCGATCGCACAAGCATCGGCAACGAGATGAAAAGCATGCTCAAGTCCGAAGATATACTGAAGACTGCTTTCGTGATGCGGTGGTTAATTAGCGTCGTACACTGCAGCGAGGTGGTTGGCACCGCGTAGTATGCGGAAAACGGACGACACCAGGCTGAAAAGTAGAGAACCTCTATGACGACAAACCCAATCGCGGTATATACGGCCAGAACCTTGATCGCAATGTTCTCGTAGTGAAGCGCCGTCCGTGTTATGCGGTGGTACATGATCAAAAGACAGGCCTTGCATGACCAGAGCACTGCAATCTGCATCTGCTCTACCACAACTACCAACTTACTTCCATACACCCTTCTCGATAGCTCTTCAGGGCTGAGAGCGCCAAAGTCAAATCCTGGGGGTTCCAGGTTCGAGTGGACTTTTAACCATCTGTTGGAAAACACGAGCAAGACGGTGTAGGCGGCCGTGACAAAGAGGCCCATGATATAATCATCGAATTGGAGCCCTTTGATGGATCGAAATAGGATTTTGCGAGAGATACTGATGCATATCGGTCAGTCGTTGCATACCAGTATTGTGACGTGTTGTGCGAGTTGCAATCAAATATAGATCGACCACGCTAGGAACTCCGAGGCCATATGTCGGCGCACCCGAGCAGAAGCCACCCCCAGCCGTGTTGCTAATGCGGAAAGTTTATTTCCGTTTTCTCGGACATTTATTCAATGTCCCGTGACTACTACCCCAATGTCATGAAACGGAAGAGAGAAAAAAGCCACTTACAGCCTCGCTCCGATCATGCAAACCGCGCATGTGTACCAGATCCATGATTCCTGGTTGAACGGCAATGTCATCGTCGGTTTGAAAAAGGGCGCTTCAAGTGGCTGAGCGCAAATGGTATATCGCTATCCGCCGGGTTGTTTGAACGTGGGAGGACGTATCGGTTGTCGTGAGGTCATAGTGGGCTCTGGTTCGATGAGTAGTGCATCGCATGTACTACAAATATTCTTGTAGTCGGCGCAAAGAACAGCTGGCAAGAGAGAGTGGTGATATTACGTAACGTTCTTGACAAGAATAAAAAAGGAAAGACAGAGAGAGAGAGAGAGGTGAGAGGGAGAGCAAGTGCTGACGACTGGCAGATGTAGAAGCGCGGTGAGGGGCTTAGACCTTATAGCACATGACTGCATGGCAATACTCGATTTGCTCGATTTGATCGTGGTAGGGGAAACCTTACAGCCACTCGTATGCTCACCCATGGCTTATCTGGATCACCTTTGCAAACACGCCAGAAGTTCGGAAATCTTGGTGGGGGATTGCCGTGGATTAACTTCCGGCCATCCTTGCGACCAATCAGCCATGCGCAGTCGTGCCAATATCCCGCTCATTTCTTTTATGCGCCTCTTGGCTCCTCCCGCCCATATCTTCCACTCCGCATCCACGCTGTTTTGAAACTCGCTAGGTCGACGCGATTGGCTTGCTCCAAAACCATGCCATACCTGCAAGGCGCCCTCAATTGGCGTGATGTTGGCTGACTCGAATCGATCCCGCAGTCAAGCCATGGATGGCGTGGCCAGCGACAGCATTGGAGCCCGCAGTCTGGGCTGAGGCGGCTGCGCCCGTGACAACGCTACAACAACCTGATATCTGCACTGCTGGCTGCGGCGCAGAGGTAAAAAACAGCCAGCATTGGTTCCAGTCCACAGGCTTACCAGGGGGTAGACATGACAACAAATGTGTATCGGAAGGTGGCGGGATTTTTGGCTTTCCAAACCTGAAGCCTGTGAAAGGAGGTCGACGTCCCCATCGGCCGCTATCCTCCTTCAACCTGCCTTCGGGCCGTTTCTCCCAACCCGCGCATGCCATTCCCTCGCACAACAGGCACACTAGCTAACGTTTTCCTGGTTTCAGACACTGCCTTTGCGCAGATCGCACCGGCTTGTCCTTGTGCTCCCACGTCCCCCCTGTCCCCTTTTATCCCATACATGCCACCCTACTGCTACATTGTGCTTACACTTCTAGATTAGAAAGAATAAGGCCTGGGCTAGGCCGCAACAACATTCTCCGCAGGAATGGTAGCCTTGTCGGCCAATATTGTTCCAACGCCAGCGACATGCGACTCTCTGCCAACCAAGGCAATCCTGCAACAAGGATAAACACAGCTGAATGCGCCTCCCAAGCTGCCCCAACCACAACCTTCGCCGTGACTTGTGCACACAACGTTGCCTATCCGAAATGGCGTTTTTCTTTTCTTTTCAGGCCACCCACAGATCGACATGGAATACAACAAAATAAAATGTTCCAACTTCGAACCCGGCCCGGCTGCATTGAAAAAGAGAGTGAGAGAGACCCGGTTCTTGTGCACGTTTTTGCTCTAATACAGAAATTGTGAGGCGTTCTATTAGTGAGGCAATGATAGTCAACCACATTGTCCCAACGCATGGGGCAACCGCGCAGATCACAAGGCTGCAATCGTAATCTTTCCAGACTCTAATTTCCTAACGGACTCGTTGCACATACCCAGACGTAAGGGTCCAACTAGTTTGCACGTTGTCAAAGTTTAAGTTTTTTTTGGTGGAAGGGAATTTTTTGGTTTTCTAACTCACCCGTACGTGAGGCGGAAATAACGTTTGCAGCACCATTTTTTGTTTTCTCATTTTACTTTACAGACAAGCGAGTCATTTGTATCGGATAGTAATCGCCTTCCTTACTCCTGTTTCATAAGTCGGAATTCGGAATGTAGTCAGAGGACATTTGTAATGACGTATGCTTTTATTTTTCTACCGGAAAAGAAGGATGTTAGCTATGGAACTAATAAACACCTCGCCGAACTACCTTCGTACGAGACACAGAAAACCTCAGGGCCATACAGAATATATGCAAAAACAAAAAAAAGCAGAGACCAGTTCAAAAACGCCTTCATCTCACCCAATATCCAAATGTGACCCCATCTCTCCCATGAAATTTCCAGCAATCATATAATCCCTGAAATAAAAAAACTTTAGTCATGCCCAAGAACCTTCATCCCGCGCTGCACCCATTCCTCCACATTCGCATCCCCAACCTCGCCTTCCAACCACGCCCTTCCTTTATCACCCACAAGTTCCCAGCTCCCCCTCAACCCCCCCAATCGCTTCTCAAGCACCGCAATCACAAGCGCAGTCGCAGCCACCTTCTCATCCCCCCCTTGCATCTGCGCCTTCACACCCGCCTCATCCAACCCAAGGGCACCAAGTAACTCTGATGACAGCGACCATGACCCTTCGAAAGACTGCAGCGAGATGAGGTAGTGAAGAAGCGTTTCACCGGTTACCGAAGAAGGAGGTTGCGGGGTTGATGATGCTGCTGCTGCTGCTGGGGTGCCAGAGTCGTTTTCTTGTCGAGCCATGACGAGCCGTTTTTTGTTTTGCTGCTCGAGGAGCATGAGGCTGGATTGGTAGTCTCGTAGTGATGTAGCGCTTGCGGCGGGTGGTGCTGGGGCGCCGAAGAGGGTTGGGCCGGAGTTGGGGGGTTGGTTCTGAACTGGTGGTGGTGGTGGTGGTGGTGCTGCAGCGCCAAAGAGCGATGCGCCAGAGTTGGATTGGTTCTGAGTGGGTGCGGGTGCGGATGCGCCGAATAGAACACTGCCGCTGTTACTGCTGGGGCTTTGGGCACCGAAGAGAGATGAACCGATTTGAGGGGCTTGAGGGGGTGCTCCAAAGAGGGTGGTGTTGGCTTGGGGAGCAGCGCCATATCTTGCATTGCTGGAGGCGCCTCCAAACAAACCACCACCGCTGTTCGAACTGGGAGCAGCGCCATATACTGTATTGCTGGAGGCGCCTCCAAAGAGACCGCCACCACTACTGCTACTAAAACCGGGAGCCCCAAAAGAACTGGAAGCCCCAAACGCAGCACTACCAACTGCATTGCTAGATCCAAACAAGCCACCACTACTACTGCCCATCGAGTTGGACGCCCCAAACGCAGCCGTAGAAGTCATATTGCCTCGAAACGACGCCGGAGTCCCAAATACCGAAGACGGTGGTCCTCCAAACGACATATGATAACTATGCTGTGATGCACCAAGGAGAGGTCTGAAAAGCGTCTGCTGATTCCCCTGTCCGTAAACTTGGTGCGCAGCAGCAGCAGCATCGACTTTATCATCTATCCACTGCCACCCCTGTGCTTCTTTTCTCTGATTCTCTGCTGCTTCAGCGTGCGATTCGACAGCGACGAACGAACACCATTTTCCGCCTACTTGGAATTGTACGCCTAGTCGTACGGCTTCCCGCTCGACCATGTCGTCGTAGCGGCCCTCACATTTCTTCTTTACCAGCGTGCCGGACTCGTCGGTGGCTTCGGAAAGCCAGCCTCGGCCTTGCTCGAGTTCTGAAATGGCTTTTTTGGCCGCGAGCTGGTGGATGGTTTCGCCCGGGTGGGCAAGGGGTTGGATTGGGATGACGAGTTCGAGTGGCCCCTGGGGGCTTGTGCCGCGAAGCGTGAGGGATGTGGGTGTACGTTGGGGTGCGGAGGGACCGAGCAGGAGGTAGATTGATGTGCGATGGAAGGGGAAGAGGGAGGGGATCATTTGGGGGGCTTGGAGGATTTTGGGAATGGGGAGGATGGGGAGGTGGGCGTAGCGGGATTCTCCTGTTTCGTCGGATGCGGTTGGTTCTTCTGCGTCTGGGTCGGCGGTGGGGTCGAAGAGGGAGATTGTGTTTTTCTTCTATTTCGTTGTTAGTTGGTGGGTTCATAAAGTGTTTGGGGGATTGTGACTTACAGTTGGTTCTGGCTCAGCCTCGTCTTCTTTGAGATCGAGTTTTACCTTAAGACTATCTGATACTTTTTCGATGATTTCGAAATCATCTTCTGGTTCCACATCGAGGTGAGCTGAGATTTCATCATTGTTATACTTGACTTCGAGGGTATAGTCGTTGATATGTGGGGACAATGCTCCCTTGAGCATTCGTACAACTTTCGTATTCATCGGCTCGTTCTCGCCGACTGATTGCGAGAAGCCATTTCCTGCCTTGGCTATACCTTCAATCAGTGCATGCGAGACGCCGTTCCCAACACCTAACGTGAAGACCCGGATCGGGGCTTTAGTCACTTGGATAGATTCGTTGAGATAGGAGAAAATGCGATCCTGTCCCCAATCCTCACCGTCAGTGAGCAACATGATATCAAGATCCATATCCTTGTATCGTCGCTCAATCGTCGCTTGCAGTGGCTGCCACATCTCCGTGCCGCCATAGTTCGCCGAAAAAGAATCAACATGATTCATTGCCGCATCGAGCGTCTGCTGGTTGTAGCTAGCACTCTTTTCCCAGAGAAACGAGTGGCTTGAGCCGAACGAGCATATGTTGAACTTGACTCCAATGGGAAGAGACTTCAAAAACACCTTCAAGGCTTGTTTCGCAAGCTCGATTCTCGTAAGCTGCATGCTTCCACTGCGATCACACACGAAGACAATCTCGGGTCGTGCAGGAGGTAAGGCAAACTTTGGTACTAGCGTTGCCATTACTGCTCTTTGATTCGGAATCCTCGGGTGTGTCTCAAGTATGGCTTTGGGTACGCCCGTGTGTTTGGCAATGACTTGCAAGACAAAATCCTTGTCTAGTCCTGCAGTGGCAAGAGCGAGGGTTGCGGATGCCTTTGTCATTGCGGGATCGTCATTTGCCGCAGCAGTTGAAGTTGTGCCCATTGATATTGCAATGGGGTGTGTGGGCGACTGGATCTTTTGGATGAAGGATCCATCAGCCATGTCGACATCGACAGTAATGGAAATGCTCATACCCATTGCATCGGTAGCTGAGCTTCTAAGCAATGTGCCTGGGTAATCGCCATAGCGTGGGCATATGATGTTTGGGATTGTGAATCTGATGCCGTCGACTTCCATGTCGTGCTTGAGCTCGCCTAGATATGTGATTTCGACGATGACTTTTGCTCCAGGAGGGATGTTTCCAACCGTCGTGGTGAAGACGTCGGAAGCATCTGGGAGTTGCTCAAACAATCCGGCCGTCTCGCCTTTTGAGACTGCGTCTTGAAATACAGCTCTTGCCTTTTCTCTCTCCTTGACCTCACCAACGATTTTCCGGCCCCCGACATGGCAGGTGAAGCCTACTACACTGACACCATCATAGAGCGGAAAGGTGTAGCGACACTCCTTGATGGCTTTCTCTGTCGATGGGTTGGCAAAAGTCTGTGTGAGTACGGTTTTGGATGTGGTAGAAAGAATGGTAGCTTTTGCTTCGAGTTTAACTTGTGGAAGGAATTGCTTCTTGAGGTTCCATTCATCAGACCGGACAATGTAGTGTAGTCCACAAATGTGAGCTGGACCTGGATACCCAAAAAAGCCAGACATATTGAGGGCGACCCGAAGTACAACAAGCCTCAAATGTCGGATGAATTTATGAAAACAATCTTGACAGGTCACAAATTCTACAGCAATGCAGTGGGTTCACAAGAATAAAGCAAATCCTTCAACACGGGCGTTTCTTCAGCAGAAACGGAAAAATTGTGAATAATGTTTGGGAAGATTGAAGAGTGTGGTTAGCGATGTGAGTTGAGAAGATCATGGCGAGGGTTTGTCGAGACTTAAATATTGTCTGAGGAGGCTGTGTCTGAATGGTGCCTGAGTGTTGCCTGAGTGCTGCCTGCGGACTGTTTGGTCTAGATGGCTGCCTAGGACTACAAACCCAGCCTAGTGCGTGCCACGACTCGCGCAACCAGCAGAATACGACACACCAGTCCAATGAAGGCGGTGCAATATTGGCAAGAGTTGAGGCCGAAACAGGCGAGTGATAATGGTAGTTGGCGGATTGGATGCTTTTTCGGGGGCGGATGGGTTTGTTGAGGCGCAGGGCATCATGCACACAGCGGACGCGCTCGAATGAGGTCGATTGGGCTTTGAAGCGCACAAACGGCGGCTCTGATATTACCGCTCGATTCAAGCATGGGAATTCTCAACGTCTGGAGTGAGATCCGACGGTCAGTGAGATGAGGCTGAACGTGGGGTCGCCGATCAGGCCATGCCTTGTTCGGCTACAAGCACTGGACCCTGAACGTCAGGCTGCATGCCAAAAATTATGACTGTCATCCACCATGCCACCAAACAATGCGTGGGCCAGTCACCCACGCCTTTCCAGAGTTCCACCGTTCATTGCACAAACTGTTCTGTGCCCAGCGCGGCTTTCACAAACTTTCCAGGGTGCCGCGACGTGTTCTATTTCGGGAATCGCACGGGAGAAGAAGAAAGATGGCGGGGTATGAAGAGTGGTCTCAGCAGCAATTGATTGCACGAATACAAGAGCTGGAAAAGCAAATAGGTGTAAATGGTTCTGAAGCATCTACGATACAAAATTCTGCAGCGCCTATTGTGGCTGCGGACCAACAGACACCACTATCCACAGATGCCCCTCAATCATTAGAAATTCGCAAGGCCGTCAAACCGCCACCAAAAGTATTTGACGCTTCCAAATATAGCACGCGTCTCATCGCACTCAAATTTGCATATCTTGGCCAAAAGTACAATGGCTTTGAGCATCACAATAATAACTCAACGCCATTGCCGACAATAGAGGAAGAGCTATGGAAAGCATTGGTAAAAACACGTTTGATAACTCCAGCTACCCCGGGCGAAGGCGACAAGGCATACGAGAGAATTGATAAAAAGACATTCGCAAATTGGGACAGAGAAGGCGCAGATGTTAATTGGGATGGCTGCGAGTATTCAAAATGCGGAAGGACAGACAGGGGAGTGAGCGCTTTCGGACAAGTCATTGGTGTCAGGGTCCGGAGTAACAAGCCATTACCAAAGAAACCTCAGCCATCAGAAGATACCCCACAAGCAGACCAAGAAGATGAAGACTCGATACTGTCTTCGAAACAAGAGCCCGAGTCTCCACCAAAACCCTTCAACGACCTCACAAATGAACTCCCTTACATTCAACTACTAAACCGCGTCCTCCCGCCTGATATCCGCGTATATGCCTGGTGTCCTAACCCACCACCAGACTTTAGTGCGCGCTTCTCTTGCAAAGAACGACGATACAAGTACTTCTTCACAAACCCCTGTTTCGCCCCAGTACCCGGGTCTTCAGGTCTTTACAACCCCAACACCTCTCCATCCTCTGAAAACAAGCCCAAAATGCGCGAAGGCTGGCTCGACATCGCCGCCATGAAACAAGGCTGCCAGCACCTCATCGGCCTCCATGACTTCCGCAACTTCTGTAAAATAGACGCAAGCAAACAAATCTCAAACTTTCACCGCCGCATCTTCCACGCAGACATTGAAGAAGTCTCCCCCTTGTCCATCCCAGCATTCCTCTCCCACCCCGCCTTACAAACCCCAGACACAGAAGGAAACCAACCAAAACTCTACTCCTTCACCCTCCACGGCTCCGCCTTCCTCTGGCACCAAGTCCGCTCCTTAGTCGCAATCCTATTCCTCATCGGCCAAGGTCTCGAGTCCCCATCGCTAATCCCCGCCTTACTCGATATATCCGCCAACCCCACACGCCCGAAATATGAAATGGCAAGCGACGCGCCCCTCGTCCTGTGGGACTGCATCTTCCCGCACCCAGACGAAGTCCAGAGCTCTGAGGAGCGCGAGCACGGGTATGAGGATAGTCTTGACTGGATCTATGTGGGTGATGAAGGCGGTTCTGAACCTAAAGCTAAAGGCATGGCGAAAAAGGGTGGGGGACCTGCAAGTATTGGGAGGGGCAAATGGGGACGAGGCGGTGTAGTCGATGATGTGTGGGAGGTTTGGCGGGGGAATAAGATTGAAGAGACGCTTTCTGCGCTTTTGCTGGATAAGATTGCGGGACTGGGAAAGTCGACGCTGGATGCTGAGGTGGCTCTGTCAGAGCAGAGTGTGGGGATTGCGAGGGGTGGGCCGAGAGTATTTGACGGAGGCGATTTTGGGAGGGCAAAAGGGAACTATACAGAGGTGCTGAAGAGGGAGAGACAGGATGCTGTTGAGGTGGTTAATGAGCGGTATCGGATTCGAAAGGGGATTGTGGATGCGGAGAAGATGAAGGCCAAGGAGGAAGATGCAGATGAGTAACGTTGTTGGGATAATGCCGGCTCCATAGCTTCAAGATTCCGCAAGTACCAAATTTATTATATTCAAATAGCGGAATTTGCCCTACCTATAAAGAAACCTCTCTTCGAATCTGGGTATCATGTATCCAAACCTCATTCTCCATCTTCCAATCTTTTTCGTAAACAATCCCACTTTTTCTTGGAAAACTATCCAAATTCGGCTTTGTCAACTCTCATTTGCCCACCCAGCGAATCCAATGACACAGCAGATACTTCTAATCACCAGTGTTGAGCTCCAAATCAATCTGCACACCATTACTAATAGCATAATCCGCACACGTAAGATTATCATGGAACGGTCTCTCTCCCTGCCTCTTGAGCATAATCTCGTGGACCGGTCGTCCGATTTTTGCCGCGACCATGGCTTTGAGCAGCTTGATGGGATCGCTGGGTAGGCAAGGGACTTGTGTCTTTGTACCTAGACGATCGTTTATCGTGACGAGGATCATGGGCTCGGAGGGTGTCGAGGCAGCTGGGGCGGGTTTCTTGTTTTCCTTGGTGGTGGAGGAAGCGTCGCGCGGCTTGCGGTCTCTTGGGGAGCGAGAGCGGCGCCGGCGGTGTTGGTCGCGGCTGGAGTCTCGGTGGCGGTGATGGGAAGAGCGCTCGTCGTCGCGGTAGCGGTTGCTGTGATCAGAGTCGCGCGTTCGGCGATCACGGTCGTCGTCGCGCCTTCTGTCGTTGTCTGAATCTCTTGGTCGCCTTTCCCGGTCTCTGTCATCGCGCCGTCTGTCTGGATCCCGCCGCTCGCGGTCGCCTTTGTACTTGAGGCCGCTGAAGTTCTTGGGTTTGCGAGGTGCTGGTGAGCGCCTTGGGGAGCGCGACCGATCACGGTCTGTTTGTCTTGAGGAATCCATAGTCTGGCTTTGTTTTTATAGCGAAATGGTGTGCGGGTACTGGTTTGTACTCAGTTCGTGCTTGGGGGTTTGGTGAGGCAAGTACGATGTTGGTGTAGAAGGTGGAGTGGGTTGTAGAGGAAGAGCAAAATATGTACGAAGACAGCGGTAGCAATGCTTCCAAGAACAAGTACCCATCTAAGAATGGAGAAATGGTCTTATCGATAAGCCCACCCAACCAAGCGCGTCATTCCGCTTGTCTGTCCCCTACTGTCTCTTTTTCTCCCCCACATCCCGCTCTGGGGGCTCATATTGTTTGGTACTTTCCTCATGACGCTACGTATATAGTAGCTAGTTCACAATGTCAAGCTTTCTGCACAGCCTCACATCTCCACCCGCCCAAACACTGCATGTGCTGCAGCCTACGCCCGCCACCATCACGTACACGGTGTCGACGCGTTCTGCATCCAAGACACTGCCAGCGCATGTAGGATATTATGTAGGAATACTTGTCCGGATATTCTGTGGGTTAACAAGTGGACTGCTACTGTGGATGAAATGGAAAATTACAAATAAGCAACCAATGCTCTTCTTGCAGGTCGCATTGGGTAGTGAAGGAGAGGGGCAACTAGTAAAACTGGTGGAGACGTTGCAATGGCGATATCTTGTTCCAAGTGCGCTCCTTACTCTATTCTTAGTCTTTCGAAGAAACTATACTGGTACGCCGTTTCTGTCATTTCCACCCTCATCAACTCAACACATTATTTCCTTAACAACGAATCGCTAACAATGTCTCTAGAGGAATCCCTAACTGTGCTTCGTGGCCTCGGCGTCCAAACTTCAACTACCTCCTCGACGTACCTCCAAACACCCACAACGCGCTTCATTCCCACAACCAACATTCAGGACATCTTCATACACGAGGCGTTCAAGGGCTTCGAAGTGAGATTCTACCTCATGATCGTGGTGGAAGGCGAGGACGAGGTGGTTGTCGTCTTCCCAACAATGTTGCCCAGAAGGGGAGTGCTGGAAGTTGTGTGGAGAGGAGTGAGAGGAGGACTGTGGGAGCAAGGATGGTCGAAGCCAAAGATCGAGGTGACGGAAAGCAACGAAAAGGTAGAAATATGAAGCCATATACGGCATGCCTCTTGTACTCTTGTCGTAATCGGCATCTTCATTTGTCTTGGAAAGCGTGAAAAAATCTTCTAAGAGAAAGGATGAGCAAAAGTTCTCATGACAGTGTCTATTGTCTCACAGCCATACCTTGAGTCTTGCGAAGCGACCATACATCAAAAGCAACAGCTGTTGCCAACGCCACACTCCAGACGCATCCGCATCACTGTGCGCGCAGGTCCCTCTCCTATACAAATAGCGGTATCCAAAACAACAATGTAGCGATATCCTTCTCTTCCAAACTCACAGCCCATCTCCATCTAGTACCTGTATCTTGTACTGTAATCCTTGGGACTAACCACCAAACCCCTACCCTTCTTCGCACCCCGGTATACCGTCTCAATAATATCTATAAACTCCTGCTTGTCTTCCAACACCCAGTTGAGCTTGTTGTTGTTTCCCGTGCCGAAATCGCACATCATGTGCTTGTTGCGGAAGAAGAACATGACGGTGCACGGGTCGTATAGTTCGTACATGGCTTTGAAATCAGGTACTTCGTCCAGGTCGCACAGGTAGATGGCGCAGAAGTTTTTTACGCGGTCGGCAATCTTGTAGAGTACTTCGTCTTGCGACATGCAGTCTGGGTCTGAGTCGCGTCCGAAGCGGATCAAGACGAGTCGGTCTTCTTCTGAGAGAATCGCTTGGTCGACGTGCCAGCCGGTGCGCAAATGTGGGAGGACGACGGAACCCATATTGTAAGGATATTTCTGTGTATAAGTGACGGCGTTGATTTGAGGTAAATGTTGCGGTGGTGGTGGTTTGCGGAGGTTTGAAAGTTGTGAGTTGCAAGTCTGATCACGGGCAAGCTAGGGTATAAGGATCCGTGCGTTCCAACTCTCAGCGCTTGGTTATGGTCAAACAATATATCTCAGTAGACAATGCAGTTGGGACCAAATTGCGAGAGGGTCAAGTGTGGGTTGGCTTCATGTTATAGAAAGCTAGGCAAGGCAGCTACCGGCTGGTGATCTAGAATGTTCCTGAACAGACCCCGCACTTTATCCATCAGCCCTACCGTGATAGCAGTCCTTGTCTCTGCAATCCGGTCCACCACGAGTGTGTATGCTACCATTATCGCATTGTGATGAAACTAAAGAGGCTGCCCTGAAAGAGATTTTGATGTGGCTGCGCGCCGTTCCCAATCGCCTCAACTCCTTCCCGAATGTTCCTCAATCGCCCGCCCTTAGATGGAGCTGGGGTACATCATAACCCTGACACTGGCACCGAAGGACTTTGGTGGAAGGTTGTGCTGGAAAGAAGCGCGAACGAGACCAGAGTTGCCTGTTTATACATTAATCACCGCTCGTCATGCATAGCCCAGCGAATTGTACGCACCGTGAGTTCGGCGGATCTTGCCCCAGATGACGCGGATGGGGTTCGACTTGCTGCTGCCGACGCGGTATACATAGGCGACACGCTTTCCGAGGTACCACTCCGCATCCTTTGTGCTTTCGACGCCCTCGAGCTGGAGCAGGCTGATGTTGGGGTTCGAGTTGCGCTTGCTACGCTGGTAGCTAACGTGGCGGCCCTTGACGTAGACTGAATTCCAGTCAGTGTGTGTGCATGCAAATTCGTCGCGCCGTCTACTTACGGCGGTGGCTCTTTTCCGAAGACATCTCGAAGGCTGTGGGGGGACGTGTCGTGATGGGTGACGCTGGTGCTGCTGAAATTGAAGACCCAGGGTTTTCGATGTGGGAGGTTTCGGTAAATCGCTTAGCTAATATCTTGGCAGAGCTGCTCGTGGCGCAGGCCTAGTAGCATGCAATCCATTCGCTTAACGAACTATAGCTCGACCACTCTGGTCAACATGGGTTTGTGCACAACAATACTGTGGGGGCTTCCTTGGTTGTGCGCTGACGTTGTTAAGTTGGAGATTGAGCACTCTCGACTGCATTTTTGCACATGTTGGATATACACGAGTGGGCCTTTGAGACAATTTCTTAGTCTGGTGGTAATCTACTACCGACCTCTTCATACCGAGAAAAAAATTAGCTGTAAACAATATGTCTCATTATATTTATACAATGACTTGGCTACCCTTTGCTACCTTATCATCTATGCGCATGTACGGTCTTCGTAGCCTGTGTGGTGCTACGAAAAACATGACAAATCCTATTCACGTGACACTGATTTCACAGCTAAAAAATAAAAACATACGACAGCGGGGATTCGCTAGTGGTCACCCACCTAACTACTAATCCGCCGATTTCAAGCTTGTATAGGCCAGATCGAACGGGATGGCTAAATTTCTTGAATCTATGGCCGTATGTGCCATAAAAACCAGGGCAAGTTCATTGTATCCGCAGAATTGCCACGTGAGAGCTCGGCGGAAATGGCCTCTCCAGTCTAGCCACCGAGCATGAATCGTATGTCAGACTTCTGAGGTAACACAAAGCAACCACAACATTCACAGTGCCATGGAAAAAAAGGACCGAATTTCTCTCACTCTCCGTCAGAGTCGTGGTGCCACGCTGAGGCGCAACAACCGTCATCTCGCCTTGACCACTCTCTCCAGAAATCGCGATTTCCTCGCCGCAACCTCAACAACCTCAACCCCAAACAACAACGAATAGCTGTTACCCAGTCAAAAACCAGTCACTTACCAGCGCCAAGGCAAACACTGAAGCCTACAAAATCTTCTTTTCGCGCTATGCTACGCGTTCGCAAAATCCATGCGCAGACTTCTTCCATAGTCCCTCTTGTTGCAGTAGTTGGAAGTAAAGCTGGCCTTGCCCATTTACGCGATCTTTTCCAGCCCGAGAAAGAACGGGTCCCACTCATGGGAGAAAATTTCATTGGAATATTGGATCACGTCGAGTTACGAAGTGTATGAGTATACTGTGGCTCTGTGCGATACGTATGAGCAACTGCATTTTGGCGGGGTGTATAGTACAAAGCAGCTTGGTGAGGGTGGTTGAGAGGGGAAGGCGCAACAAAAAAATCGGTGATGACGTATTAG